TCCCTCTCCTCCCCTCCCCTTCCCTCTCCTCCCCTCCTCTCCCCTCTCTTTTCCTCTCCTCTCCCCCTCCTATGTGTGTGCGTGTGCACGCGCATGCGCGCGTGCGCGCACACACACACACACACACACACACACACACACACAAGTCTAAGGGCAACCTTGGGTATTCATCAGGTACCTTCCATTTTTTTGCTTGCTATTTGGTTGGGCTTCTGATCTCTGCTTTACCGTCTCATCATTACTTGCATTGTAAGCATGCACTAGTATGCCATTAGGACAAAAGGGTTCTGGGGAGCCTAAAACTTCCTTTGCAAAGCAAGCACTTTACTAATGAAGGCTCTCCCCAGGTCCTCAAAATCAACTCTTGGTTTGAGCTCCTCATTGGTTCTCATTCTCCCCATAGGAAGCTTTGGTATAAACTCCATGGCTTCTGAACACTGCACCACTGACTGTTTAATAAGTTTTAATCTTCATGGAAAGCTCTCCTCAAGTTCCTTCATCAGACTTTTGGTGTGCTGTGATTTCTAGTCTCCTTACACTGTTTCTTCAAATATACTGGTGCTTCCTTAAATCACCCACAACATCTTCTACAGATGCCACCTCTCACCTTAACAACCTGCATGCTCTAATTTAAGTCAGCCCAGAATAGCTATTACGTTTTCTCTAGAGTTGTGCTGTATCCCATGATAGACACAGTCACATGTTATTGTTGTAACTAAAAAGTCAATTCTTCTTCAGTGACATTCCAAGGGATTGATAGGCACAGATGGTAAGGGGTCTGTACCACAGCACTGTTTGCTTGGAGTTTTCTTTAGATAGTGCTTTTCATGTTTTGTTGGAATATTTGGGTGTTTTTCAAAAACAACTCTAGTGTGGCCTGGGGAAATGCGTCAATTGGGACGTTTCTTGACCAGCAGGCATGAGGTACTGGATTAATATCAGTATATAAACTGGCCATGGTGGCACACATACATAATCCCAGCATTCAGGAGATAAGATCAGGAAGATCAGGTGTTTAAGGTTGTTCTTGGCTGCAAAGCAAGTCTGAGGGCAGCTTAGGCTATAAGAAATCCTATATCAATCAATCAATTAATCATTCAATCAATGTATTAATAGTTTAAATTTTTTTATGCTGAATAAAAAAGTATTCTATCAGATGTTGGTGGAATACTCCTAACGTTTAAGTAATTTACTTCTTATTTATTCCTTTCACAGAAATCCCGATATCTAAATAGCTCCTAGTGTTCTACCCTTGAAGCTTTAGGTTATAGTAGATATCGACTGTGCTGTTAACACATAATGACTTGCACGAGCCATTTGAATCCATAGGGATATTCTTAACTGTTATTATCAAGCCTTTTCCACAAACCCAGTTCTGCACGATGGAGTGAAATAAACTAGAAATCAATAGCAGAAGGAAAACACGTCCTAGACTATGCAGAAGTTTAACAGTGAGATTTTAAACAAACAAGGCATGAGGGAGGAAGATGAAGACGCAGCCACAGCGTGTCAAGATGTACGTACGGAGCAGAATGAAAGGGGATTGTGAAAGGGAGGTTCCTAGCAGGAGATGTGACAGCCACCCATCTGACTCCACACCCCAGAGAGTGAGGCCATGAGCAAACTAAGCCCAAGTCGGCAGAAGGAAGGGAAAATAGTTTAGGACAGAGACCAGTGAGATAGACTACGAAATAAACTGAATAGAAAACTCAAAAAATGAAGTTTCTTTTGTTGAAAATGTAAAACAAATAAACAAACACAAACATTTTGAGAGAGAGAGAGAGAGAGAGAGAGAGAGAGAGAGAAGAGGAAGGGAGAGAGGAAGAGAGAGAACACTAAAATTAGTAGTGGAAAAGAATACATTAGAAGTGACGTCACAGAAATAAGGACATGAAGGATGATCACAAACAGTTATGCTCTGAGGCTGAGAGATGGCTGAATGGTTAAGAGCACTGGCTGCTCACGCAGAGGACCCAGGTTTGATTTTAAGCACTCACATGGTGAGTTCAGGGGATCTGAAGCTCTTTTCTGGCCTCTGTAGGCATCAGACACATCCATGGTGCATGGATACATGAAATATGAACATACATACATACATACATACATACAAGCACTCATACACATAGTCTTTTAAAAATGATTATTTAAAATAAATTACATACTAGCAAATTCTATAACTGAAAAAAGTTGAGAAGCATCTGAAAATATACAACCTGTTAAGGTTAAATCATGAAGAAATAAAAAAACATCCAATAGATATTTGTAATCGGTAGGACAGGGAGACTTTCCAATAAACAAAGGGTTAGGGCTAGCTGGTTCCACAGGAATCACCACCAAGCACTAAAAAGTGAACATCGATCTTTCTCAAATTCTATGGAAGAGGAGGAAGTAACCCCAAACTCACCACAGGAGGTCAGCTTTACCCAGATACAATGCCAGACAGGGACTCCAGCCATTTCCCCGATCCACCATATATTAAAATATCTCCAGGTGTTTCCTAGCAAACTGGATTTAGCAACACATTAAGAAGGACCACACACCATAAGCAGATGAGTGGGAGAGGATTATGCTTGGGGAGGAAGATGACTCTCCATATAAAAGCCAGTCGGAGTGGGGCACCATGGCAACAGAATAGAGGACGAAGTGATAGGATGCATTTCAACTGATGGAAGCAAGCATCTGACAAGGCAGCACCCCTTTGCAATAAAAACACTCCAGTTCTGAAGAGCAGGAAGCTACCTCAAAGGGGTAAAAAATGTCACAGCAAACAGCAGGCTCTGTTGGGAACAACTCAAAGCGTAAGGCTGTAAATCCAGGAACAGGACAGAACTTGTCCAGTTTTACAGACACTTTTATATCAACACTCTTATATCAGGTGACAAGCTTTAGTGAGAGAAATTAGAAAGGAGAAAGAAAGATAAGAGGCAAAAAGAGGAAAGAACAGAACTACCTCTGGTCAGAGAAGACATTGGTTTATATTAAGAAAACCCTGAACATTCTGAAAAATACTGATTAGAACTCATAAATAAAGTTAAAGAAAAATTATTTTAAGGGTGGTTCTACAGGAATTACCTGTGAAACTGCCCCCTTTTCTATTAGCAGGCCTATTAATTAATTATTATTGTCATTGTTAGGGTCTTTGTTAGACAGATGTATTGTTTAAGTATCATGAGTGCAGCTTCCCTGTTATTTCTAGGAAACACAATTTCCTACTAGACTTCCTGGTCCTCTGGCTCTTATAACCTCTCTGCCCACCGCCTCTACTATGTTCCCTGAGTCTTCGTAGGAGCTCAGTTGTAGATGTATCAGTTGGGACTGGGTATTGCATGCTTGCTTGTATCACCTCAGACATCTCCAAATTCTCTCCCATTGACAGATTTGACATTCATTTGCTTTTGAATGGTGAGGAATTCAAAGCCTGTCTGCTCTTGTGGAGTTTCTAATACAGAGTGATTGTTCTGGTTTTCTTTGATGCCAGAATAGAGATCCCAAGAGGTTTCATTCAACAGTTGCTTGGATCCATTTTTCTCTGGGCCCTTGGTGTGAGATGGAGTCATAATGGAGGAAGGGCATGTGGTGGAGAAAGCTGCAACCCTCCTCAGGGCTGGGAAGCAGAGAGCAAAAGGGATCCCAAGATCCTCCAGAGCATTACTCCCCATCACTCAATTTCTTCCTACCAGGCCCCAACTCTTGAAAGATGTTCTACCACCTCCCAGGAGTGCCAAGGCTGGGGACTACATTTTCAAGACGGAACTTAACAAGCTTTTAGGGGATATTCTAGATACAACGTCTAACAACTGGTTTAAAAAGTGTCCAAAGGAATTGAATAGATTTTCCCCCAAAAGAGACATACAAATGGACCAAAAACACACGAAAAGATGCTTAAAGTTACCCATCACCAGGGAAACATATGTCAGCACCGCAATAAGATGTCCTCTCTCACCCACCCAGATGGTCACTATGAAAAGAGTAGATGGTAGTGAGGATGTGATGTTGGAGTCCTTTTGCATTGTTGGTAGGAATGGAAAATGGTGCAAACATTAGGGAAAATGGAGATCCTTTGAAAACTTAAAAGTAAAACTTATTTATGATCTAGTAATCTTACTCTACATTTCTATTCAGAAGAATTCAATGCAAGATCTTAAAGAGGTGCTTGTGAAATGAATATGGGGAACTGAGCTTTCCCTGGGACTGACTGGGCAGGTGTTAAGCAGTTGAATGTATTGTTAGTGTTAGTGGTAAATTATTTAAGTTCTACTGCAAGCTGTCCTATTAATGTTCATTTTCCTGTAATAACAAGAACATTGGAGAGCGGGCAATTAGACTCTCCTATCTTGTCTTTGGTCCCTTGAGCAAATGAATTGTCAGTCAAATAGTGGGACTACCACCACGACACCACCAGATACCTGGAACACTAAGGACACCTTGAGAAAGCTACCCAACAATTACAGCTCCTGAAAGCACGGTCTCAGTCAGGGATGTTAGAAACCACTTACGTAAGGCTTTTAATATCACTAACCTTTGAACTCTTGATGATTTATAGCCATTTCCAACAAGCTTAGAGAGGAGTACTTTTCCTGGTTGCCTAAAAGGGAGTGGATCTAAGTGGCGATTGGTTGAAATATTAATCTCAATGACTGTGACTGATTCTA